ACCCCCCCCCCCCCCCAGGTGAATTCATATGTTACCACTGTGTGTGGAGAAATGTGGTAGAAATAGTTGAAAAGAAGCTGTGTGTTCATAATTTTTTAATCTTTTAGCAATTCTTTAAAAACATTTCCTCCTTAATACTGCTTAATATAAAACTTGTTATTCAGTTGAACTAGAAGACAGAATAAATCAGCATCATGAATATTTAGCTACAGTCACAAATTTCATTACATTTTATCAAATTCTTACTTCTTTAGTTGCACAAAAGATGCTCAATTATGGCCATTACTGTCCAATTTTTTGTCCTCTTAAGCTGCTTCTGGCATCTCACTATAAGTAATGATGTTACAATGAAAATAAATATGGAAATAAAGGAGACTTTATGCTTTAAAATGTCAAAGTGAAGTAATATAATCAATATAAAAACAGCTAAGAAAGGGCCAAGTATCACAGTCCCCAACACATGACTTTTAGTTTGAATTAATTTAATCAGATATATATGTAGCAGATTTAAATAGATGTTGAATGTTCCTAAAAAATTGCACCATGTTACCTGTGACATATGACTTGAATTTGTTTATACAGAAGTGGTAACTGTAGTTGGTACAGGTAAGATGCACTGTTCATCATAACAATTACACAGAAGTTTAGAATCATCAGAATGAAACAATACTATAGCAAGAAATAATTTAAATTCAAAGCAGCCCTAACAAAGTATACATACATACCACACTTTTTATCATATCACTGCTATAGCTTACTTGGTTAAAATTCAATATGCTGTTGGAACCATGCCACAATCATATTATTTTCATATTTAATTGAACCCTACCATTTTTGTATCTGACACTGATTTACTGAATAAGGTTCATATTTCACTCCCAGTTTAAACACATTTCATGTTCACTTTTATGATATCTGTATTATCTGAATCACATTTTAGTAATACGTATTACAAACATGGTGACATTCTATGTAATGATTCACTCTTCCACACTAGGTGTAAATATTACGTTATCCATTGCTACAAGAATTCTGGACTATACTGCTGTGCTGCCAGGACATCAAGGATACTTTGACAAATGGCTCTGACATTGGGATTCACCTCAGTATTGTCATGCAGATGGTGTAGGATCAGACTGCCTCCTCCTTCCATCAGCATTGGGCAGTACCGCTTTGCTGCAAACAAATTTCAGATTTGACCCATACACTAGTGGAAGTGTTTCTTGACACAATGCATGGGGTAAACTGGTGAATACTAATACCAAGGTTAATGCTAACAGACATAATAAGTTATGAAAAGTACATATAGCATAATTATTCCAGTGAATCTGCTCTGTTGCTGCTTTTAAACTTAAAATTGAGAATATTCTCTTATCAGTAGCTTATTACAATGTGTTGTTTATTCCATGAAAACATGACCTTTAACCTTAGATCAGTGGTCCCCAACCTTTTTATGAGATCGTGGCGGGCACCAACCAATTAACAAAGTCAAATTTTCTTTTCTCTGGACAAATAAGATATCGACACCAAATAATACGCAAAACAACACAACGTTTAATAATACAAGAAACCATGCAATCAAAAATATGTAGTTTTATAAGTACAGTTATTATTACTCAAGTGGGAAGTTAGTGTGATGTTTGGCTCTGCATTTCATCAGCCATTTTTTCAAATTTGGGAGTGTAGGATATGTTGCTCGCAAACAATCATCAAGATGGGCGTCAGTAAGTCGAGATCTGTGCTTTGATTTTATAATGTTCAAGGTTGAACGGCCTTCATTATTCAGTATAACCTCTTTCCGTAACAACGCGGACACGCAAAAAAAGTCTTGGCAGGCGCCATGGCACCCGCAGGCACCGCGTTGGGGACCACTGCCTTAGATTATACCTTACCATTTTTAGTACAGACATGCTGAATGGCCCAAACTGCCCATAACTGCACCTGGAAAGCCCCATGAAAAGTCAGCAGTGGAAAGAATGGTCGAAATGAACGATATGCAACCATCTCACCCTCTGGTGTCTCCCAGTTTACAACCACTTCACCCTGCAGAAACCAGAACCAAATATTTATCATTATACACAATGAAGGAATGACATATCTTCAAATACAAGCAAAAATGGGGTGTAGCATACAGATATGGAAGAATATTTTTAGCAGTAAACACTAAACTGGAGAGAATGCAGATTGCTCTGCTTCTCTCACACTGTTATTATGTGTATATAACGGTTGGAGGAGCCCATTTTAGACCAATTCTCACAATTAGACCAATTCTCTTTATGGTAGTTTCACTGTGAATTTTGCAGAGTGGGGAAGAAAAGGTAGCAGTAATGACAATTTCTCTGTATATTTGCTGGCTACTATGTGCTAGTCTCTTTTTTATGTCAATAGATTCTAAAAAGAATAGGAACCAAAATAAAGTACAAAATCAATGGTCATACCAGATCACAGTTTCAATATGTAGCTACCAACTATACAAAAGAAAGCAACCCGAAACCTGTGAAATATTTTAAGCTAAGTATCCTGAAAATCTACAATAAGCTTCACATGCAACACTTTCAGTAACAAATTTCTGAGAAAACGAATGTTTTAGGACCATAACTCAACCAATATCTTGTAACAGAACAGTAGTTTCTACAAAATATTATCCTGATCAACAGAAATAAAACGTTTCTTAGATTACACTTAGTGCCAATATACTTACCAACTCCTGTAACAGCTGTTGCCTTGTTACTACATCAACCACCCAACTGACAGCACCATCACTCGCTATATGTGCAATGATGCCCGCAGCAAAATAGCTCACATCGATGTGGCAAGAATGAAGCAGAATCCTGCATATAGTACATAACATTCAATACAAAATAAAATCTTCTTATATTAATGTCACAGAGAATTTGTACTATGCATTACCTCAGCCTGGTCATAAATTCTGGCACCATCAGATGTGGCCGCAACTTTGATACTTCTGCTATATTATTTATGAGGCCTAACACCTTTGTTTCTATTGTACATTCATCCTGAAATGTCATCAACACTTCCAAGAACAAATGCATGCCTCCTTCCTCTAAAAAAACACTACATGTTGTGGGAGACTCATCTGAAAGAAATCAAAACTGTAATGTATTTCTGTTACATAAAAATATTACTCAGACCTTTAATGCGTTTCTCTATGCCATCCTATTCAAATAATTAATTATAAATAAAGTAAACCCACCACTTACATCTCTTGCTGCTTAATAATCAGGTAATAAATACAGGGAGCATATTTTATGTAAATTAAAGGAAAATAAGTGGACTGGGAAGCAAGTAGTTAATAAATAATATAACTAGCATTTTTACAGGTCAACTATGAAAAACTAAAAAATACTGAGCTCTGTATACTTAGAGTAAAGTATGGTTTTGATAACTTGCAGAAAGATGCTAGAAACACAGTGCACTTTTTATTTTTGGGTATTTTATTAACAATTTCTCATGAGTTCAAGTAGTCTATGCAGAGGACTATCATCATGTGATATTTTCAGCAGCATACTGTAAATTCTAAAAGAATATGTTATTACATACGATACTCCCAATTCAATGGAAAGTACTATTAATTTAAAAGTCAAGTTTAAAATTTTGGACTGGAAATGAGTGTTTGTTCAGTACATAAAGAAGATGAAATGCAGAATAAATTATGAAGTTTATGTGAATGAAATGTACAATGTTACATCCTAATTTGTCATTTATTTTAAATTATGCTAATAATGAACAATACCATCTTCACCAAAGTTGTTGACAGAAACTATGAAATATTTTTTGCTGTACAACTTTTAATTTACTAGGTCAGCTGTTAATGTTGTTCATAACTACTCAGTTACTGCTTCTATAATAGATATAGAGGGAGAACTATCTTCCATTAACTCTTCAATTATCCAATGTCATCCTGATAGTTTTTAAGCCCACAGTAACTGAATCAAGAACTTACCTGTCAAATTCCACAGTGCACTAAGTGTGAATTTAATAGTTATGTCCACACTGCCCGTCTGCATCTTGGATCTGACAATAGACAGAAGCTTGCGCATATACTGTTGTTGTGACCCAAGCAGTGATGTCTCGCTTGTTGAGATTTTTGCCGCTGACAAGAATAAACAAATCACTATTTACAGCTGCAACCTTCACAATATAAAAGCTCTGCATAAAGTACTGTATTTACTCATGCAAAACACAGTTTCTTCAAAATTATTCATTCTAAAAATTAGGGTGTGTGTATAGCATATTTGAAGGGGACAAGGATGTGGCATTTTTTCTTTCTTTGCAGTTTTTTCAACAATTTCTAATCATGAATTTTGCATTTTCTTTTGCTGTCAAGGAAAAGCTGCCAACAATCATACCTTAGGTATGAAAACATTCAAATTCCTTTAGAGAAATTTAGTTTCCAGCAACACAACTTCTGCCTGGAATGGTCATAATCCCATGTTATTCAAGTCTCTAGACCCTAAACTAGGCAGATAGCTTCATGTGTGCATCTTTTCTAGACAACATGGAACAACTAGACACAGTTTGCCACTAAGTGAAATATCTACAAACCTTACCTGTCCAAATTTTAGGGCTAACCAGTTTTAAAACAAAAAAGTACACATCACTGTCCACAAAAAACACCAATGTATTACAGTGCATTTACTGATAAACCAGAATGCAACAATCTCCTCCTGGCAGGAATTGCAATGACTCACTGCCAAATGCTGCAACAGTTTCCAATATATGTCAAGCATCGCTCAATAAAAACAATCATGTAACAATGACGCAGTTTCCCTCTTTGTAAATGTCAACACTTTTGAGAATTGTGAATTGTGTTTGTTTATAACAAACTTTGGGTCAGGAATTAATGGGATTCACTCACCAAGAATGCTGCAAATTGCAACACTCATGCGAATCATGGAAGGATCATCAAAGGCACACAGACAATCCATAACCAATCGAGCACAGCGGTATTTATCAAATGCCACATCCTGCAGTATCCTGTCACTGCACAGTGTGAGTAAAGTATTCTTCTGAAGCTGTAGACATACCCATAATTTTAATATTTCTGACTACACAAGAATGTCCAACACCACATTTAAATAAAAATACAGTAACATGGTTGTTATTGCATTTCCTTCAGCTTAATGTTCCACATTATCATCACAGAGCTATAGGAGATGAATGAGAAAAATTAATGAAAAAAAATGTGAAGGTCAAAACATGCACACCCAAGCAATCAACATCACCACCATGGTCACATGCAAACTCTTTCTTGTAGCAGTGACCTGCTTATTTGCTAATTCCATCTACACTCTTCTGATACCAGCCCAGTGGCCTAGTGGTTAGTGTACAAGCCTAGCATTTGAAAGGTCCTTGGTTCATTTCTGACTGTTGTTACTAATGTTGTGTCAGTATCGTGATTTAATCCACTTTTGTATTAAATGTTACTGATCTGACCAACCATTAACATGACTCATCAAATGTCCATCATGTTATATTACAGCTTTGCATTTTTTTTCAAAAGTAGTAATATCAAACAACAGAACCTACCTGGTAATGATTTGGAAAGTTCTCCATTACAGTGAGTGTGAGTTCTACAATCTGTTTCAGAATCTTGGGATGAATTTTTTGGGCCAACTCCCCTTTTGTCAGGTTATATAAGCAAGCTGTAGCTGCCATCTGTACACCAAAGAGCCCAGGGTGTGCCTGCATTCCAGTCAGAACTAACTGTCCAACACAACACATTAACATTCATGTCCTTCTATCAGGCATTTATAAATAAGTATGATTATGGTTACTCCATAGTGACATGCCAATACTCTCACAGAAAACACAAAATTATTTAAATGTTTAAAAAATATGTCTTAATTGATAAACAACGAAAACAAACGTTCTACATACACACACGAGTGAGATTACCAGGAACTCTAAATGATTTATCATGAGGTAGAAAGCTGAGGCAATTTCAGTTTATACTTGCATAAAAATAACCTTTTAAAGTTATATGAATGTATTAAGTGCAAGGTGAGCTGAGGTTCTCAAGACAACGAGCATGAAGAAGTCAGATTTTAGGTTTCCACAGTGATGAGGATGATGATCTGAGTTTTGGCACCATCTAGACTTTTCAAGTCTAGATGGCACCAAATCCCAAAATAACATCATCAATTATAAACACAGTTGTCTTCTGGGATGTAGCACCGGCTAGTCTCATAGGTTCCCGCTGATGTTTCTGAAAAGCTTACTACCTGATGACTCATCCTACATCCCAGAAGACATCTTCATACTGTGTACGCAGCTAACCCCATACTATCAGGCAATTCTCAAAGACAAACTATGTTTTGCTGCTCAGATGACAAATTTTAAGCATGCTCAGGTTTGGCACACCTTCCTTTTGTACTGCAGCCCCATTTTCATGTGTATACTGTTACCATTACTAGTTATGTTATTGTATGAGTAAAAATGAATTACCAAGCTGCAATTCTGCAAATACACTTATTAACCCTTCAAGCTGGTAGCCAGAGAGCATTCTCACAGCTAGAAGCTATCCCAAGGACATACTCGCCATATGCACACTCCAAGACAAACTGTCACTGCTCCACTATCTGTTGGATTTTTGTCATACTATTTGGACCACGAAACCTTCAAACATTGTACTTCCCATTTCTTCCATCTGTTCCTTCACACACATGACTGCACACAAGCTATTTCCTCTGTTTTACGGCACTGAAACTGTATCAGCCAGTAAGCAACATGGTATATCCTAGCCCTTCATGAGGTCTGAATTTGGAAGAAACAGAAGTGTTTCAGGAACCTGTTAACAAAAATGTTATAATTTGTGATAGTGGAAGTGAATTAGATAGTGATAAATAAGAAGATAGTATTTTGGTTGAAAAACAATCATATAGTGAGAAAAATGAAGCAAAAATGTGAGTGACACAAAAGGCAAGTCAGTGAGCAATTTGCAGTTGAAATGACCAAGATATCAGAATCACCAGAAGTGGGAAAAACTTGACAATTCGTATGTCGCAGATTTCTTGTGACAGCCCATTTAAACAGCATCACAGCATTCATTTAGTAGACATATAAACACCAGCTTGAAGGGTTAATGCAGTCAACATAAAGTTCTATATATCAACAATCCTACAACTTTTGACTAGTGTCATAATATCGTTTGTAAAACTATTTTGTTTTCTCTGTTAAAATGCAACAGAGAGATTCTAGGAAGTGACTAGAAATTACACATGCACAACAATGTGCAACTCAATTTTATACACAAGTTCAAAAGAGGAAAACTGAAACTCTTTTGAAGCACTAACTATAAATGATAACTATCATTATACTCATACAACGCCACACTTATCAACTGGAAGAAAATTCAACTGGGATTTGATTCTGACCAACATGGAGGTATGAAATGGAATTTTTTCAATGAAAATTTGCAGAAAACAATGTGAAATGGTTCTTTTGGGATTTAAAAATCATGTAGGGCCCACAGGTTCCAGGATCTTTAAAGAATCGTGTAAAATTTCCTGAAGCTGCAACTTAGAAATAAATGGTCAAGAACAAAAACACTTTTGCAGAGAATTGGGTTTTCAGAATAATGTAATGAGTATTAAGGAACATTATTAATTGTTCACTTATAATTCTGTCCTATGTTACAGGAATGTGGGGATCCTTTCATGTACATACCTGAATAACATCCACACGGGCATCACCAAAGTTGGGTGTCAATCTGAATAGATTATACAAACATTTTTGTATGTAGATTGGCCGATGAGTGTAACGTTGCAGGGCTTCCAACAGTTGACTCTCAGTGGCAATACCAGTTACCTGGACATCAGAATTTCATCAGTATTTAGGAATCTAAATTTCTTGGTAGTAATTATATTCACAAACCTAATTCCGAGTAATTATATTCACAAAACTAATGCTCAAAGACCTTAAGGATTTACCTTGCATTTGTGAAGTTCCTTAAATTTGAAACTGAAAGACTAAAATTTTATCATTTCAAAATTAAAGAAAATTTGTGTTTATACATTACCATCTAAAATTAATGCAAACAGAGTATATGGGTTTCGTGCTTCTAATGGTGGTGAAAATAATGACTATTGTCTTCTGGGTTATGATGCCATGTGTCTGCTTCATGCCTCTTTCCACTCATAATCTGATATTCTAACATGTGTTTGAGGATAAATGTATCAACTTAAGTGTTGACATAACATAAGAAGAAATTAAAACCAAACCAAATGAAAGTTCGCTATATCACAAGCTGGCTAAAAATTCAATGAATTCAACATACAGAACAGTTAATAATATTTTGCCTTGATCTTCATAATGGTGAAAAATACAGTCAAGAGCACCTAAAATATCACCACAAACAAGCTCTTACCACAAGATTAGGGTTGAAATCTGGATGATGAGGATTCACAAAGATTTCATCATAGCATGCCTCAGAATGAATCAACCCCAAAAATGTCAGCTGTCTGTGACATTCTAAGAAACTCCTGAGAGTTGATATGCTGATTTCATCTTTTCCTAAACAAAAATTTTATAAATTTAATATTAGCTTGAATTCAGAATCAAATATATTTATCAAGTACAATAAAAATGTAGGCTTATTTTATTCTTATAAGAACATTACTTTACCCAAATAACTGCTAAAGTTACTAAAGAGATGATATGTTCAGCAACAGAAAAAATGTATGATTGCTCACCTGCACACAGACATTTGTTTTAACCTCTCAATATCAATAAAGAACAAGACTTGGCAACTACAAACTCTAATTCACACACACTCTACCTAATAAACTTTCAAGGTAAAAAAAATCGTGCAGATACGTTTCAGACTTTGGGTTAATGACAACTTGTGGTTGTTTCACATTTTCTCTCGCAAATATAGACAGTTCTGACAAGATTTTAAGTATTAATTGTGGAGCAATTCCTTCTTTGATTCTGCAAGGTGTTCCTTCGACAAATTCCACAAACTGTATAAAAATTTGAAGAGGAGAGCACCAATAAGTAGTAGTTTATGAAGGTACACCAACAATGATAACACAGCACCATAACATTATTAATAGGTTAAATTCTATTCATTATTATAATAATCACCATTATTTACAGCAACTATACATACTGACTGCACTGTTTATGTATCGACATTGAAATATTTGCATTATTTCTCTGTGTTGAAAACCATAATGCAACATTTCTTAATTAATTACAATACAGACTGATGATCTCACTATTAAAAAGTTCTGATTTTAGCTGATTCCTAACTTTAAAGGATACAAATCTGGAAAATACGTGTGGCCTACTTTCACACTAACACAGTGTATGAGAAAGCAAAAATTCATAAAGTTATGCTTAAAAGCAGATATAACGACTTTAACCACCTATGAACTGAAACTGTTTCCCATATTAGCTGGTGTTTTGTGCATGTGAGAAAAAAACAAGCAACTCTGACAAGTACTCAACTTTCTCTGAAGTAATATATGCAAGAATAAATGTCTAAGAAGATGATAAGACTCTACATCAATATGTAATCTGATTAACACTGCAATTTTGACTCACCAGAGATATCTAAAATAGTGAGATGCCTCATAGAGACTTCTACCTTGAGGAACTCAGCAATGTGTGTCCGTGATGGCTGTAACATATCAAATGGGTGTGCTTCCTTCTCATCAGATATATCCAGCACTCGAAGCTGATGCAGTTCTATGAGGACAGGCACCACATTCTCAACTGCTGAAACCTGAGAATAAAATGTGTGTTCTGTTTCTTTGTCACAACCAGCAAAATACACAAAGCAGTATATTTTAAAATTCTAAGTACAGCCAAACCCCATTACAGTGCTATACTTTGTCCATTGCCAACATTGGTGTTAAAGTAACGGTGGTTATAAATTGAAACTGCTCCCCTCCCCTCACTCAGGATACCTCTAACACAATAGTGGCCGACACATTTATCCTATAAAAGGTAATACCAACTGAAAATAATTTGCCGGTCTGCACCAGAATACTGTTCTTTGTTCACACGTCTTTTTTCAGCGACATTCAACACTGCCATTTTCATCATGTCAGACAAATTAAACTTTAATTTTTTTAATTTCATTTCTAATAAATTATACAGATTATTAAGGGAATTTTGATACTAAACCAAGAACAAATCTGTCGTCTGTTATAAGCATTTAATTTGCTCAAATAATTTACCAAGTTCTTATACAGGCGTGCTGTGAGGGGGTCACATACACACATTTTTTGTCCAGTTGCCAGTAAGTTCAAAAACCAGTGGAAACAGTGATTCAGTCAACACTTATGTCAGAAGATAATGCTTACTTTAAGGTTATACATAGTGAGAGACTTGAGACGATCACGACACTTGCGTAACGGGCTTATGTCGTCTACCCTAGTACATGAAATATCCAAACTCTCAAGTTGTGGAAGATCCTCAGCTATAATCTCCAGTCCATGCCTGTTGAATTCTGTACAGCTCACATTCAGGCTGTGCAGACTGCGTAGTTTAGACAGTGCTACCACAACACAGTACCTGTACATTTGATTTTCCCAACTTCAGTTATACACTCAATAAACTACAAGATAACCAACAGCAAATAAACACAGACCAACCTAAATTATTTATATAACTGTAAAACTGGTTAAGGTAAGAGATGCAAACTGAAAGGGCCAGGCCACACACGGCCCACAAATGTGTCTTGTATAGCCCGTGTACATTTCTTTTAATGTTGTGTTACCCTGTTTGACAGAAAAATTGCTACCTGATATAGAAAATAGATCTTGTTAATATAATCAGTACTTGACAGTAACAATAAAAGTGAGCAAATGTTCAGCTAATGAAGAATGTCAAATCAATAATTATGATATGTCTTACTCATGAACACAGGAGGAAGCAGTACCACAATTGAAACTTCATATTGTAAGATTACTCAAGAAAAAAGCAGTGACAAATATCTGACTAATGACCAATTTTATTAAAGAAAATTACTGAGTAATGTAAACCTGTTTTAATAATAAGTTAGCAACATTGTTAAAAAACTGTTATAAAGTTTAAATACAGTATCCTGTAGCTTACAAGTCAATAAGCAGGAGTAAATCAACCCTACATATTGAAAAGGTGAAGACCCCTGCTTTATATAACAAATAAAAAATAGTGTAAGAAAATACAAAATTTATAAAAATGACTCATGGTGTGTCACAAATACATTACCTGGATCCATCCATAAAAGTACTACGAGCTACATTAAGGGAACGCAGGTTTTGCATAGTCCATTCTCCAAGACAACCAATTAGGTCATTCACAGTCACCTTCATCCCTGTAGCCTCCAGGTGCAGGATCTTGTGTCCCTTCAGGACACGTAATCCTCTGGCTGTGAGCATGCGTGCATTCCGTAACTGCACATGCCTGACATCAAAAGAGCAATAACTCAGTCCAGTATACTGAGAAACAAATACTACACAAGATATTTCTGAAATACATGGCATCACTTTAGGGGCAAATTCTGTGAACAAAAGCAACAAAAATATCTGCATAAATATGGGTGCTTCATTTTTTAGCTGTGGCCCCCAAGATCGCATGACTTAACTCTGTTTTATTAACCTCTCAGTAAAAAAAAGATAAATGTGGATTCTGACACAAAACAATATACTAAAACAGAATGAGAAACACTTCTAAACAGAATTAACTTCTAAACAGAATAATTAAAACCAAATCTATGTCCCCTGAATTTTAGTTAATGTAAATTTATAGGCACAAATTGCAAGTTGTAATACAGAATTCAAGACTGTAAGTGTTTTGCTAACACTGTTTACTAACATTAAACTATTTCAATAAATTATTCCAAAGTAAAATTTTCACAATAAAATTCTACCAGACACAGATAATTCCATAATTAATAATAAATTTAATGAATTGGTTACCAAAGTATCCCATACATGCTGTTAAATGTCATACACTTTAACTTCCATCAAGAACTACAGTAGAAGAATTACACTAAATGGCAATATATAAAAATACTATAGGTTGAACATCACTGTTAACTACCTGAGTCTGGAGGTGCTGGAATCAAATAATGTCATTGTCAAATCAGAGAGTCTACCCTTCTCACTCAGTGCCGTCAGCAACTTCTCTGATAACTCAGTATGAAAATACACTTCACCCTCCTTGAATGTGAGGCGGCTACCTGAGACTGTTGGAAGCATAAAAAAATTCAATGAATATTGGGAATGGTACTGAGAATGTTCTTGGGCATTCTTAAAACCAATGTTCACAACAACTGTGAGGATAAAAGAAATAAAGCACACAAGATTTAAAACAAAATCTTAATTAATATTCCAAATATTGTCATACTTTTCAAAAAATTGTGTGGGAAATTAATAAATATCAAGAAAATTGTAACTTATTACAGATTGCTCAATCAACTACAATGAGATACTGGGATCACAAATTGTGGATGTCAATGTATGGAAAGTGTCAATGACTTAACTGTATATCTAGAAGCAAGAATCTACAAGGGAATACTTGTTCAATCGTTATCAACCATGTGTCACAGCTTACACACAATTCTGCTGGCCATATGCCACAGCAGCATACCACTGTACTAGTGAACCCAGAGTTTAAAGTCCAGTTGGCAGCCCCATCATATGGGGGTTTAAAGTCCCTATTCCTTCACAATTAAATTAATTCATAACATGAAACTGAGTAAAATAGCAATGACAAGAAAAGAAACAGCATTGTCTCAACTTCAATTTAACTTACAAAGAACGGCAGTCCCATAAATGATTGTTATTAATTAGTATAACCAGACATGTAGAAGACATGAGTCAGTCCTGCATTGGTTAAGAAAATATTGCATTGGCAGTCACAGTATGACTGACTGATAAAGTAGAAATACCATTTTAAGTCTACAGGCTAAAATTCCATAGCAGTAATCTCTACAAAAGCACTGGGTATTCCATTCAGAAGTCATTCATTACAAAATTGGACTAAACATTTTCAATGAACATGTAAGAGATGCATTTTACAGGAATGAAAGCAGACAACAAATTTAACTGACATAAAATGTATTCATTTTGAGACACTACGCAAATATAGCTCTTCAATAAACTACATAAATATGACTATAAGGAAATCTTCCCTTATAATAAAGACCCATTAAATTCACATGCAATTATTCACTGCTAGTCAACACTTATCCAAACTGGCAAGTCAAAACTATGTACTGAATAAATAAATAATCAAAACTAAGGCTTCAGTATTATTTCATAAACCAAAAAGAAATTCATAATTATACATAACTTGTTCATTATATGCTTCAAAGCCATGTTGCAACCAACATAACCTATTTATAATTAATCAACTGGCTAAAATACTCGAACTGAATGGAAGGAAAATGTTATATTACGGATTGATCTAACCCTTTCTGTCATATGGAATCGTCATATGGGGACAGTGTGCTAGGGCACTCACTATATGAATTTTTATTCTTCAAAAAATGGCAGTAAGGGGTGTTGCTGGGTTAAAACATTTGGAATCATGCAGAGGTAGTTTTAGGTATCTAAAGATATTAACAGTCTACTTGTTATACATCCAAGAAACAATCTTATATGTAAAAGAAAAGTGTAACTGCACAGTTAATAAACAAGTGCATTCATACAACACAAGAAATAACAAAGACTATCATAAATTTGTACATAAGTTAGAACTCTATAACAGTAAACCATCAGTAGTAGGATATATCTTCTATAACAAATTGCCTAACAATATAAGACAAATTGAAAACAACAAGTTTAAAAAGAAACTGAAGGAGTTACTTATTAAGGGGCACTACTACTCAATAGATTATCTGAATGAAGATTACTCGAAAATTGGATACTAACACAAACATATGTATATAATGTTTTATATTCAATAAGATTATAAACACTATGGCACGTTGATAATGTATAATATAGATTGACAAGTCCTATATCAATGTATCTTGATCTACAGGATAAAATAAAATGAATGAAATACTGCAATTATCCGATTTAAATGGAAACACATGGATCAACAATTTTTCATAAAATTATCTAATATCAACTTTAATCAAAATTGGCTTATCTGCTCTCAAGCTAACTAAACTAATCTAATCCAATCAAACCACATTTAAAAGAGGAAAGAGCATTTACATGCGACATAAAAAGTTCTTTGACACAATTGAAAGGCCATAGTATAAACTGTATTTCAACACAAAATTACCTAAACACGGATATTCTGACTGTTGAAACACTGGTGTAACCTCACACAATGCTTCTATATTTTCACATATGAAGTCCACACAGGCTTCTTGTAGTGATCTTGGAGAATCATACATTTTGTGGAATTGTTTCTTAAGTTACAGCTAAATATCGTCACTTTAATTAAGCCCCAGACAGATATTAATTTACGTTTTCTAATCTCATAGTTCAGGGCTTTAAAACATCCTGATGTTCTCAGCAATTCTACAGCAAGACTGTAAGACTTGCCTTCATATCTTCCTTCTCAATCCATGAATGATTCAAAACCTAACCACTAAACTGTTATGATAAATTCCGCTGCAACCTGTAACACAGTGGTACCAAAGGTAATAAATTTATGATCCTTAGAAAAATAAGTATTTAACCCAATGATAAATTACTCCTACACGAAGGTTACAATTTGTGCAGAGTATATAAATAACAATTTCTTCATAAATAGTGCGAAAATACGCCACGGTTATACAAACAGCATTTTTGTAAAACAATATATAATTAGCGAAGATAAAAAACAGAAAATCGACAACGAAATTTTGATAAAAACGCACGTCTTCTCAATTATACACGTTTTAGGTCTAAGAACACTCTAGCCACAACTAAATGCTACCATGCTTGTTCTGGCACCAAAGATTGCAAATACCCTACTTCCTCTTGATGAAAGATGTTCATCCTACGGTCAGATCAGAAACAATACCCATGGTAAGGGTGAATAAAAACTGTTATCATGTGCTCCAATAAAAAAAAAATCGTTTGGATGCACAAAACCCACACCTAGAGAAAGAGCAACTGGAAGTTATCTAGATTAATAAATATCTTAAATATTTCATTAACATAACCTTTACCGCAGTTGAATTATAAATGAATCTCCGTTTTTTGCGCTCTCGCATTTCACCTTTTATTATTCGTTTTCTTATGAAAACATCAGGACCCGTACTGACAAACGACGGTGACGAACTTTAACTTGCTTTTTAGTCATAATAAAAATGCTGTACAATATTCTACATTTCATGTTCATAAAAATTTCATCTGGCTGACTTCAGCATTTTAGCCCCGAAATTAGTTTCCATGCGTTTGTGTCCGTGGGAACATAACTACATTCCTGTCCAGACTCCCCCCTCCCCCCAGGCTGTAACATAAAACTTCAACATCAGTAACTTTAAGCTTGGAGAGCCTTCTCAGGGCTGAATGGAGATGACCATCTTCTGGAATGTCACACGATGTAGTCTCTAGAAATTGAAATATCTCTGACATGTTTATTGCCTCCATCTTTGCCTTTTACTGACCACTCATAAGAGCATAAATTTCAACCATCCAGATCAATTTCAACATTATTTTCCTGTCTGCATATGCTCCCATGATGTTTCTTCCCTTCAGGTTCTATGACCACAATATTGCAGACATTTTTCATCTCCCATGTATGCTACAAGTCCCACCCATCTTGAAACTGATTATATCATCCTAATAAGATATTTGGCATGATTTACAAACTGTAAAGCCCCTTATTATGCAGATTTGTCCAACATTTTGTTACTTCCTCCACCATGACTAAATATTCTTAACCATGGCTGGAACAAGGGTATTTGGTGCCTAAGAAAACCTTCAGCCTCTTATAGGTCTAATTTAAACACACTTTAATTAGCCTCACCAATAACACAAGTGTAGCAAAATTCAGTTACATTGAAATCCACACTAATAATCTCAAAAAAATACCATCATGGAGCTGACCTTCAAAGAAGAATGTCAGATAACATTTTATGTGAAACTGGTGTCATTGATAGCTGATAATTACTATATTACTCAACCACCAATTTTATACATATGTGCAGTAACAGACTCTTTCCACTGCTCTGGAAATTCTTCCTTAATCTACATATAAAGCTAATAATTTTGGAGTTCTCCGAGTATATATTTCGCCTTTAACAGGGAAATTCTGTCAGGATTTGATCAATGAATATTGATTCACAACTTCAACTTTTCAAAGTCCTTCCAGAATTAAATAAATTTGCTCACATATTATTGGATCTGCTGCATGCTTTTCAGTCTTCCCAATACCTTTAAAACATGATGTACATTTAACAGCAAAGTAAAGTATTTTTCCCACATATTCAAAAATATTGTGGCAATATGAAAGTAAATTAGCACTCACCTTTTACCATGTTAGGCCTAGTTTATTAGCCTATCTCACATTCATTTACGCCTTCATGCACGTCTTTCATGTTTTTATCCTTACTATTTGTTTTGTATTTATTAGTTTTTGACTGCAGATATTCCCTTTTCTTGTTCCTTAAAGTTCAACTACATTCATGTTATTCAGATTAATTACAATTCATTTGGATTGGATTTGACGGCCATTGCAATTTTGCCTGCTTTGTTGGATTTAATAATTTTCAACACTCTTTGATAAACCATGGTTTACAGTGTTTTAAATTGTAACAGCCTAGACCCCCTTTGGCTGAAGTTTTAATATTCTCTTTAATACTTTCCCAAGCCCTATTACCACCCACATTATCATTTTAAATTTTAACAGCTGCTAATATATGATAATATTAATGTTCATGGAAAGGTATATGTTAACATAATGATGTTCATCCAAGTACCACATAACTACAATCTTAACCTTAAAATTAAACTGCAATAACAATATGAACATATTTATGTTCAAAAGCTCGGTGATTCTAGTACTGTAACTAATAGATGTCTCTAATTAATTTATATCACTGTTAAGTTGTGCTACCTAAAGTACATTACTGTAGTAGCGCTACTTGTAACTCTAGTACAAACCACATCTGTTGTACAACCAGGTCAATGGAATTATACACATCGCAACGTAAATATGTATGACTTCCATGTGGATGACTGCAAAAAAGCTAAATAATTAGTTGTATTACTTAGCATGTTACACAGTTTACAAATAAACCAGGTACGATAAAGAGCAAAGTTCAAGACCAAAACAATGGAATATTGACAAATAACAGCGTCACCCATTCCCACAACCCTGGTCATGAGAAAACATTATGAACACAAACACATGTTTCATCTGTTAATTACCATCAAATTTTTATATATCATTGACTGTTCACATCGTCCCATCAAGCATATCCGCTCATCATCATCAAAGGCATTCATTAAAAGAGAAACAAGTGATGTAGAAAATATGTCCAATGAACTGTTTTGTTATATATTCAATCTTAATATTCTCTAAATCCTTATATTTTATTACATAAAAACATCTAGGTTAATAGTGTAGGAAAGTTATGATTAGTTTTATTTATATATGCATCATTTACATAAAAACTACTGGTTACTCACTTCATTATATTGTGTCACACTACACATAATTCATAAGGTTATGTTGTCTGTTTGTTCCTTTTTGAATATACACACTAAGATACCTCACACACCTCACACATGTGTGAGAACCACATACTGAACAGCTACAGCGATCATATGAAGGTGGTACAAATTAACAATTCTGTAAGACAGAGATCTTACAGACGGATATTTTAGCGATTTCTTTTGAAGTTAAAACTGTACAAGTAAGTACTGTGACAGACAGTATTGGTATAACCTCATTATATCACTTGAAATAAACAATCCTAACGAAGGTTACTGTGCCTTGTTTTGCTATAACCTCTCGCAAAATAGTCACCATACAGAATACAATCATTTGAAGCCTGGCCATTATTAGCTAGTATTATTGCACCACAACTCATAAAGAACCTGCTAACAACTACTACTAAGATTTAAGATGGGACATTTATTATTGTGAGCTGTGGATTTCTTTTCTTTTCTTTTTCTTCTTATGATTCTGTGTAGTCCTAATATTACGTTACAGATGACTAAAATCTGTATCTTCACCTCAAACCTCTCACATTTATTTTTGTTCAAATTTAGTCCAATGGATTAAGTTTACTGAAGATAACAGTCTCACCAAATGAAAAGAATAATTCTCTTATTCTGGCAAAAAAATTACCTTACTGTCAATAACGTTCTTCACACACAGAACAACAACTTTCCTCACTCACAAATCAATCAGTGTAATCATAATTGACAGTATGTGATATGTCTTTATCAGTCATCATGTCTTGGGTTTCTTCTTGCGTGGCTGCTTTACTGGGCGTAGGTAAGGATTGTCTATAGAGTCTGTTTCCCCTCCTTTCCCTTCCTCTGTATTCTCCTTCAATTCTTCTAAGTTCTCATCATCTTCTCCCTCTGCATCACTACGAGCCTTCCTACTTGGTCCCGGACCACCACGAGTTGGACAGGAGGGTATGGAAAACTCGTCCTCAAACTCAAAAACTTGGTCCGATGGCAGAAGTGCTTTGAGGTAAGGAGGCATGTGTGGTTTACAAGCCACCACTGCTGACCCAAAATACACATTAATTAAAATGAGATAATGTAGAATTTGAGGATTTCATGACAGTGAGTCTGAAGATGGCTTCTTCTGTGTTAAATTTACCAATGTGTCAGAGGTCCTTGTTGCCTCCCTCATCAGCGTGGTGAGATCGCTACAACTCAAAAGAGAGCCATCTTTATACTTGCAGCCATGAAAACCTCAAATCCTAACTAGTCATTTAATACCTTTACCCAGCAGTTAATGCAGCCAAATTGGGCAAATGAAAATAAAAGTTGCAAATTCCAACAATGAACATTCCAAACAATTTTTAAGCATGCACCAAAAAACTGACACTCTGAATCACTCTGTACATAAGAATACTGTGTGGGTATGCATGCCTTCCATAAGAAGTTACACAAATTCAGAAATTTGAAAAATATATTACATGGGAATATTGTATCTTCAGTGAGGAACAGCGAATGTGTGTCACTAGTTTTAGCCACAAATCTTGTCAATGCTCGTTCAGTATCTCGTTTCTGAGATGCAGATTTCTCCCTGATGGCCTCATATTCTGTCACTGGCTGTTTGTGTGTCTGTTAAAACAGTAAAAATATGATTCCATGAACATATTTAATTTACTCCTACAGGTCTTTCTTAAATATATGACAAATATTTAGATCTTCAAGTGTTCTTGTTTTCATGGAAAACAAAGTTACACTGATCAAGAGCAGCTCAGCCTACCAGGTTCAACAAACCAGAGGGCCTCTCTATATACCTGGAGACAAAGGACAATCCATCCTTCCCATCATGTTATATCCACAATCAACTATTTACACCACACAATGAATAAAAATTAACATGAAGCTACATTCTCAGAAAATGCTTAATTTAATCTTTATAAATTTATTATATACTCACTGGTGTGCGTATGTAAGCATGTGGGTCAGGAAACTGTGGCAGATGAATTGGAATGTGTGACGGATGTGACTGTTTTACACCAGCCTGCAAGATGCTCAGCTGCTTGGGTTGAGTTGATGGCACTGGAGCTGGCAACACTGTCCGTCCTGATCTTTTGGCATGTGTTTCAATGCTATCCAAAGGCAGGCCCATATTCACTAATGCTATGATCACATCTCCTATAACTGGCTCAGTACGTCCTGACAACTCACAGTATGACCGAGCACTTAATCCCACCTGGCATATTACTGCAACCACACATTAATAAGTTAATAATTAAAATTAGTTAAATAGATCTATTCCGCTACACTATTCATGTCATAACATTCTTACACACAAGGCTTGTGATATGCAATTATTTACTCAAAATATCTACAGCACTCCTTTATCTGGGCCACTGAAGGGGGAGGGGGAGGAGAGAACCAAAATTGTAAAACACACATGGCCCAAAATTATTTATTTTCTTTTACAATCCTTCCTTAAATACAACAAGCACTCATAATTTTTAAAAATGCACTAATAATCCATAAAAATACTACTAATCAACATAGAATAGAATTTATTTACATTCCATAAATCCTTCACAGGCAAAAGCCAAGGATGTAGAACAGGTCATAGCACAAATACAAGACTTGTTTCTAGTACAAATATAAATCACACATGAATAACTGGGAGTACTTACACTTAAATTAAGACTTATAAAGATATTTATTTTTATTGTGGCAACAATGAATTTCTTGAGAGCAGGATTTACTCAGGAATATCACACAAGCTGATATACCGTAACATGAAAATTGGCACATAAGTTTAACAATTTTAATGGGCAAGATTTCAATATAAACACAAAATTTCAAAGACAATGTCAAGAGCACACACTAAATGGCAGGTGTTAAGTGGAATTAGACAGATTCTCTAGTCTGATTCCAGGAAAGTTCTAGTACAGCGCTGAAGCAAAATGTATGAACTTATATTTTGAAAACACATAATCTGATCAGTATAGACATACAGCTTAAGAGTAGTGATACGTAAGAACAGAGGTGTAGGGGATTAATAAATTGGCAAGAAAACTGAACAAAACAAACTGGTTTGGTTCTGCACACATTCTTACACTTATTGATGGTAGTCTAGCTAGTTGTACCATGTAGCATTGTACCTCAGAAACACTGGCACACAACCAAAATACTATATAGTGCAACAACCAAGAAGACCACCACACTGCCATGAAAACATGTCACTTTAGGTTAGGTTTGCTTATGTAATTATAATTCATGTGATAAAATATGCCACATCTCTTATGCCTCTTTTATCCCTTTCAGTATCTCAATACTTGATTCTTCACTTTTTTTCCCCCAGTTTTTCATCATAAATACTGCAGTGACTCTTACATCAGCCATTACTAATAAACTTCAAAAATTCTATCAGTAATAGCAAGTGCTGTAAAAACAGTATGATTATATCTCACAAGTAAAGAGGCAAATGTACAATTTGCATACACAATATGAAGAGCACTGATTCCTGCAAAATCAAATACATAACATATCAAAACATGATTTAACAATTTGTTTTTATCATCCTTACGGATTTATGGTAATAGATGTGGAAAATAATACTGATACATAATATTTAAAGTACAAAAAAATCAAAATGAACTTACTGCTTTGGGTCATTTCAATTAAGGTCTCGTGCGCCATTTTTTCGGCATTATCGAAACCCACTTCAAATAACAATCCTGCAACAGCTACTTGCAGGGGTCGTCGCCTCAAGTTTGAACTCAGACCATCCATTATAACATAACCTACCTACACACACACTATATAAACACACCACTTCCAGATTGTCGTATATAAACGCATCTTTGTCCATACAAAAAGCTAGCGTAATAACTATCGTTTAATGACCATACTTCCGCAATATTTTGAATTAAGTTTCTCATCTTCTTGCTCAAATACTATAAACACGCTCTCCTATTTCAAAAATACCTATTGAAATCTTTGCCTCTGCCTCACGCAATATCGATAGCAGCGCTTACATAATTTCCGGTCCGATACAATCGCCATATGCAACTGTGATTGGTGTTGACATAACTTTCCTAACTATATTCCGTGAAACGAAAATGAAACCAACAATGCTACCTTTCCAAACATGGTAAGCACCAAAGAACTTCTCAAATTTGTATTCTGTCTAAAATACACCAAAGACACAGTTCTGTATTGTCATGTCTCAGAGGTAAACTGCGGTTACAGTAATAAACGGATAATGCTAATGTGCGACATTCAGAATCTCTCTATTCTTAATAGCGAACTCTAAAGCTCGCCACCGGCCACGATCCTAAGCCAACTCCATCCATTTACCATCCTCACAGCCCACATCCCTAAGATCCATCTTGATGTTATCATTAAATCTCCTTCTTAGTCTGCTACAGTGGTCATTTTCCAGGATTCTCCACCAAAATCCTGTATGCACTCTTTGCCTCACCCCATGCGTGCTACATGTCCAGCTCTTCAGAACCTCCTAGATTTCACTATCCTCACTATGGTAGGTGAGCCGTACAATTCACACAGCTCCTGTTATACAATTCCACACTTATTTCATCCCTCCTGGGTTCAAATATCCTCCTGAGCACCCTGTTTTCAAACAGTTGTAATCTATGTTCTTCCTTCAAAGTAAAAGATCATGGTGAGGTTAATTTTATACTTTTGACATTTCTGTTGTCATTGCACATGAACTCTATTAGGAAGTGCATGCAGGAGTTTGAAACTGATATGTGGTCATTGAATTGATTGGAAGTAAAAGCTACAACAGCAATCCAAGCAATTTGTTCCAATTCTTTATGATGTCTAGCAATGGTAATTTGAAAATTTAAAGAAAATATGTGACTCAAAGTGATACTTGCAGATTCTGCAAAGACACTTTATATAACCACAACTCACACATATTCTTGAAAAAAAGTTACAGTGGAACCACGGTTCCGGAGAATTTGATGTAAATACGTCTCTGTAATGTAATGTCTGCAGACACTTTATATAACCACAACTCACACATATTCTTGAAAAAAAGTTACAGTGGAACCACGGTTCCGGAGAATTTGACGTAAATACGTCTCTGTAATGTAATGTAATGTTATGTTCAATGTCTTCCATTTTGTTACGAAAGCTGATTGTTGACGGCATTAATATAACACAACAATGCCAAGTAAACAGATGACGTTTCCCAAGTAACGTAACAATGCATGCAAGCTGACCATTGTTGTCGATTTGTTGATACGGATCTTACACATTTTTCTGTCACTTTTTCGTTACACTTTTTTGCGGAATGACCCTTCCATAGACGTATTTACGTCAAAAATTTGTTTAAAGGGGAAAGAATATGAATGAGTACTGAACTGTAAAGGACGGAAGGAAGCAGTCATGGCCTAATTTAAAGTGCAATTCCAGCATTTGCCTGGAAGGACTGAAGGAAACCATGAAAAACTTCAGTCAGGGTAGTTAGTCTTCATGCCAAGATTTGAACATGGGACCTCCCAAATATGAAGCAGCAGCCTAATTACTTGGCTGTGTGACATTAAACCTGAACAATAAAGGTTCTATTACTAGTTTCTGTTCTAATCCAATCAGCACTGATAATCAATAATTTAATCAATGTGGGGGTATATATGTAATCTGCTTACATGAGATTAAATTCCTTTAATCTAGTTACGTTAGACTGTATTTAGACCAACACATACACGCACGTTTGAAAAACATGGTTGGGAATTTTAACAAAGGTTTCTAGTAGGGACAGACATGACAGAAGAAAGTCACAGGATGCAAAGGGGAAAATGCAGTTTTACCTGTGAGCACCTTAATATATGTAAGTATAAGGTTGCTAAAGGGAAAAAATTCTGAGTCAATAGAAGTGAACTTCTAAGATGAACAAAATTTCAAATATTTATTATTCATATTCTTATATTAACTTTTAATTCTTTTCAACATTATTAAAATACTGATACACTTAACAGTCTAACAGATTATTTCCAATTTAACAGTTGAGATGTGATAAATAATGGGCAACTTTTAAATGAAAATTAGGCAGCACACTTTCAACTGCAAAGTAATTTTCTGAAAATGACTGTGTGAAATGTCACTAATTTCAGTACTTCAGATTCAGAACTCACATTGCATTTTGTAATTTAATTAAGATATTTTTCCAACTTTACATAGTTTAAAACTTTGCCATCCTAAAACACATATTTAATTTTCATTTCATTTCCACTTCAAGGAATGGGCCATTGACCCGTTCCAGGACAGTTGCTCCTCATTAGTCTTAAATACATACTTCAAAATGCATTATTTATAGAAAATTCATTTTTGTATTCTGTTTATATGTATATTTGTTGCCCCAGTCCATTCCACATAAAACACCAGACATCTCCCCATAAATACTGTTCATCCCACTTGTACATAGCTTCTGTAATTTATGCTGTAACACTGAACCACATAGCCAGTGTACAACCATTTATATTCATTTAAACAACCCACTAAATATAATTAATCAAGCTGCAAGATTCTGGAGAAAACATTCTTTAAATGCAGTCTGTGGGTAGGAACCTAAGGTAAAAGTTGGACAGTCCTGTTCTAAAACAGAGTTCTGTGGAACACTCAGGTTCTGTAAATGGTTCCCAAGAATTTCTGTAATGGTGAACTCCAATGTAATGCTGAATTGAAAACTAATTATCTATTGAAGTTACAAAACCAAAAGTTGAGTTCATTTCCACATAACCTTTCAAGTTGGAATCTTGTCCAATGGCTTGAAAAGCATGAAAGGAAACAGCTTTCTGAGTTTGCATGAATGTTAGCACAAAGAAGGTACAAAACTCATTAAGGTTTGATTTATACATCTAGCAGGAAGGTAATATTCTGTATTTTTAATTATATTTTTGAATGCAAAATATTTTTTTAGTAAGATTATGGGCATTTGCCTGTCATTACATCAGATTCTACATCTAAGCAAAGGTACAATGAATTGTGCTTCATTCATGATTCAAGAGTACTGAAAAATCAAGATGTGAATGGTGCAAGTCAATCAACTTTCGTACTGCCTATTGTATGAGGAACCTATCATGCAAATTCAGTTTTCTACTACTGCTCCCAATATACAAAGAATTTATTATAAGAAAATATGATTATCACAGTAATTCCAGATATGCCAATTAAATCCTTTGGGTTTCCTCTTCCATGTGCTGTAAGTATACAACTGCATTCGTATGACTTTAAGTTCTGATTTTCATGTAAAATATGTAGACCCTTAAAACAGATGGCTAGGGCAGAATCTGCTGGACTTTCAAAGGTAGTAAAGATTATGTACTTGACGAAGATTACATGCATTGTTCAAATTTCTTCAATAGGCCTTGGAAAATTGTCAAAAAGCCAGAAGTTCTGACTATATTGTTAAAATGTGTGGTGTATAAGTAATGAACATCTACTATCAATTCATGTGATGGGGCTGAAAATGGTGACAGACGAAACTGGATACTGCAGTCAGTATTATAAATTCTTATATTCTCTACTTCTGCAACTCAGGAGAAAACAAACTGAAGACCAGTTCTTCTGTGGAAGACTGGCTGCAATAATTGTCCAAAAACACATACAAAAAGCAATTTTATGGTAAAGAAAGGAGCTTTTTTTATAAATATGTCAGAAAAAGGAAAGTAAAAAGCATTATTTTGCAAAATATGCAGGGACAAATCATTTCTGCACATAATTTGTTTTGAAGATTGCAATAACAAGAAGACTCTGAAAAAGTATAATTCAAAAATATAAAATAGTTCATGAACTTCAAATCATGAAAATATAGTTAGCACAAAGACAAAATGATCAACAAATACTCCACCACCAGCACAAAAGGCAAAATGAAACAAATACTCCACCACCAGCACAAAAGCAACTACTAACACAAGAAAACGTGCATAATCTACTAAAAATTAGTAATAACTACATAATAAACTCAACATTTTAATGTTTGAATATGTGTAGGATTGATTCAGTGGCATACAAGATTTGTATGACGATATTCAACAGAAATAAGGAATTCTGATGAATTTCTGCGACATGGAATGTGTCAGAAACATGAAATGTGACTTTCCACCAAATTAATTTTGAAGGACACATAAATGCATCAATATCATTGCTAGAATACTTCAGCCATTTTATGATTTTCCTATTCTAAGAATGTCTCTTTCTTTTCAAAACCACCAGTAATGCCAAATAACTGAACTTAGTTTGGCAACTGTAAATCACTTTTACTTTTGTCCTGCACATTTTTTATGACACAAAGGCAACTTATATTCAAATTTCATAAAAACAAGTTGGGCATCATAAAGATATAACACACATCTGGAATACAAAATGAACATACTGATCCTATTGTCACTGTAGTTCTCAATTTATTCAACTGAATACAGTGGATCCAATAAATTTGACAGGAAATTTGCCATCAATGCGCAATGAGATTACATGGCACAAATTACAGATACACAGGCACTTCTGGAAACTTTAACATGTTTAATCCAAATAAAGGTACATAAACATGTAACTGCGTTCAAGTTATTATTTCAAAGTTTTACATATGCCAATAATCAATAAATTCAAGTCCTAAGCTGACAACTGCAGGACCTAAAAAGCAATACATATTTCTCTTCTATATAATCTTTCTAAAAGTCAAATTAAAATTTGCATTGACATTTACACATCCATAGAGCAATAACAGTTCAAACAAACTGTCTCTAACTGAATTCAGACACAAAGAAGAAATAATTATAAATTCCAGACTGTTCAAAAAAAGCTGTAAAACATTCAAACCACAGCTCCCATCAGCGAGTGCGCTACAGTGGACCAGTTTCTTACGCAGCTGCCCTGAGGATGAGTGCAGAGATGGCTCTCAAATCATTGGCACAGGATATGGTGTATTCACCATTCAGCCACCTGATTCGGCTTGTAGCCCGAGTCTTTCATCAATTTCAGTTGCTGCAAAAGCTTCACTTTATACGTCATAACAAACTTCACATGGAAGCAAGAATAAGATATGAATATAATGCAAATGTAAATTTATATGCACCATAAAATTATTAAAATTTCCATGATGCTAGAAAGGCACCAAGCTACAAATGTGTACTGTCTTACTCTGTAGTGAAATCCCTTCCCATCCAAAATTTCATTACAAAACTCATACAGAGATTCTCTTTTTGTGCAATAGCAATTATTGGCCTCCTCAATAAGTATGTAGAGGGAATATGTGATCATAAACATTTTTCTCTAATTAATGGCATTACCTGAAGATATGAAGGAAAATAATGTATAATACCAAGACGGTTCTGCAGTCAGCTAGTTACAAATATAAATACAACAGGGTCCATGCAAATCAGCTGTAAACATACCGGAAACAGAACTGATTGTTACAATGATGACACACATAACCACTTATCCCCAGTGAACTTCAGATCAGCAACATATACAACAATACCCCTGCTTTCATCATTATTTTCATCAACTACGCAGGATTACATGTAACTGCCTGTTCATACAACTATCAGTAATGAAGTTGGCATATAAGACAACTGATTTTATTAACTTTGGTTCCAGGTTAAAAAATAAAGCCAGTTACATTCAGTTATTATGAATATCACCGAAGTATAGCAGTTTCCTACTGCCAGTACGTTAAGTGTATGGCAGTAACTTCACCAGTGGCAAATTAAGGAAAGAAACAGGTGTTCAAAGTGAAACATTTGCACTGGCATTTAACACAGCACTGACAAATGACTTGTGTCTGAGAATAACTTGCTTACATTATGGTACACAGCAGACTTCATGGGTGAAAAAACCAACAGAAAATGTTTCAATAACACATTATGGTACACATGGGTGTAAAAAACCAACAGAAAATGTTTCAATAATTAAATTAAGAAAAACTAACTTGACTTCCTTTGTCTTTTGCCTAGATGTTGAAAATCCTGTCCCAAATAGATAAAAATGTTTTAACATGACAGGCTAATACTTAAAGCTCTACTACATTAGGAGAGTGCTAAACATGATATAATTTATTTGTTTTTGCAAAGTGACAGACATAAGTAGCATTAGTCAACACTACTTATGCAAACGCTAGCATATTTAGATTGTCTGACTACCACTTGGAACTTCACTCATTGTTTCACTATGCATGTACCCCTGGATTCTGAAGAGAATCTGACCAAATATCTGCAGATACTGTGACACATTCATAATTCCATTACATTACACATATTTTCATCTGATTTCAATAATTCAATCACATGGTTTGCAATGAAGAGTCAATGCTAATATGAATATGGATCATGTACCAAATTCATTAAATTTAAATTATGACAAAAAGAGAACTTATACTTCCAAATCTACATGATTACTCAAATAACATAACAGTTTTACCAAAATTAACCTTGTCACAATGGCTCTGACACAAAATGTATTAACAAGTACAGAGAGTTTGATTGTGACACAGGCCAATTACTGACTGCGAAGCTCCTTACCGACACTGTATGACACTATTTTATTCCAGTCAATCTTGGCACGTGTGACTGGCAACTGACGGCGCAGAGCCTTGAAGGTGGTGTCAGACATCGTCTGGTAGTTTTCTGAAATTGCACACTGGTACTCTGATTCTGCAGTCTCCACCTGTCGAACAAACTCCTTGGCAAGTTCTGCAGGAGATGTAGATGTTAAGTTCTCCTTCACATCCTTTGAGCTTACAAGCTGAACATTTCCATCTTCATAGTAGTGTACCTATTTATCAGAATACCAATACATAATTATACACATAAAGTTGAGTCAACTGTAAATCACAGCACATTCCTTGCTATAACAAAGGCTAGTATGAAGTGTACCTGGAATAAGAAGACCACCTTTTATACTATGAGCAAAAAATAAAAACAAAAAAGCATATATACATACAAAAAAATGTAATACGATGAGTAAAGCAGCACCAAATAAACCATATTTGCAGTAGCATCCAATTACTCTTCTTAGATTCCTTCATATCTATTACAGAAAAAAAAATATGAGTAGACAGAAAAGGCAAGTGTTGCTCTTGAAAAAATCTCATCAAAAAGTAAGAGATATTTTTTGCTAACAAACATTACATCTCTTTACCAGCATCTAGATCATGGAATTCAATGAGTACTCAACGATCTGATGATGGAGGCAGCAAGCACCTCTGAAACATTGGTAAACTTTTACCACCGAAGTAGCGCAGTCAGTAAAGTGACTTGGCTACAGACTGGACAATCAGGGTTCGATCCCCGAGGGGGGGTAGATGATTTTTCCTCTAGCCTCTACATCCAGGTCAGCTCTAGGGCCCATCCAGCCTCCTATCCAATGGGTATTGGAGTCTTTCCCAGCGGTGAAGTGAGGCCACGCCATGACGCTGACATCTCACCTCCATCTAGTGCCGAGGTTAAGAATGAGAAAGAGCTATACCTCCTCTCCCCCCGAGCACCTACATAGCATATAGTGGGGCAGCTTTACTTTACTTTTTTGCATGGCACAATTATCCAGGAGAGAGCCATCTTCACATAAAAATCAAAACCTGCACAACATAGATGACATTCATTGCCTACCTGTACTTTAAGAATACCGCGCAGCTCTGTGGGTGTTGATCCTTGTGGCAAAGTGATGCACCACTGGGAACGCCATCTTCCATTCCAGTAGTTGTTGGGTTGGAACTGGTGATCTTCAATACAGGCCATTACAGTGCTTCCACTCTGATGACTTTTCCCAAATACACTGCAGACACCATTCTTGTAGTGGTCCATCGTGTAAGTTGTCAACTCTGATTCAATGGCTGAACGCCACTGTTCTACTGTTGCATCCGGTGTCCATGACTAGCAACAACCAGACGAGAAATTTACAATGAAAAGAAGTTGATTCTTTTCACTTCCAGGAAACATGTTCCAGATTTTTTACAAAGTTCTCTCAGTAGACATTACTGTAAGAATTAGTATTCATTCTATATAAGGTAACATATAAAATATTTTTTATAATATTGAGGGCATTATGCCAGATAGCCATATCAACAAAATGGCTGATTTACAGAATACTAAATTCTTACACTTATCTGGTTTGACAAGTGTGCATCGTAGTGTTCATACACCAAGATGTAACTGTATCTCTGTATAGAGCAGCATCAACAAAATTGCTTGGAATATTTACAGTATCCTAAAGTGATACTCTTCTATGCAATAAGTATGTATGTACTAATTCCACACTTTACTGAATTCATTTTTTCAGATATGATCGACCAGAAACCAACCCAAACAAATGCTGAATTCTGGTATATAATTATGAGACATGAAGAGCACAATTTCCAACACAAAATCTGAAAAATTAAATGTTTTGCATGTCAGCAGATTCTTACATATGCATAATGTGGCAGTCTATGTATGGCCTGTGTACAAAATACTAGTAAACAGTCTTTCAAAACCAAACTCAAGTCATATTGTGCATAGCAAAGGAAACTGAGTCTTTCTAGTTGGACGTGCATTGGTCCCATCATCTGTGTTTGTGATCATGCCATGCTTCTGGCTTCCCAAATAATTTCTCAGGTCTACAACACTTCAGTTTTTGGGAATCATATATACATACTTAACAAAGTGTTTTATGCAACCAATAATCACTTACACATGTGATGGTTTCCACTACCATTGCCAACATAGCAGTCCTCACAACTATCTAATATAATGAAATAATTAAATCAAACGACCTGCAAGTTGCTACTGAACGATAAACTTCTTGATTGTACCGTGTAAAAAATTGGTGGGTTCAAGAACAAAGGTTTGATATCAAAATGTAATTGTGTATACATGACACACGTCATGTTGAAATTATGTTTCGGGTTAACCACCTTCCATTATAAGCCACAAGACACAGTTGCAAAAAATACATGATCGTACTGCAGTAAATATGTTCAACTACAAGTAGCCTTTTAAATATATAAGTAGCTATAACTATGTATACCTGATAATCTGAAGCTTCCTTCTTTAGGTGATCGTATCTGAAAGTTTGTCGAGACCTGTCATCAAAGAAACGGCCTCCGCCAAGGTCATTATGCTCTGTAATCAAAACTTTATGTTCCGAACCTTCAATCTTGACCGGAGTTAACTGATCTTTGTTGTACTGCGAAAATGCAGATGAAGCACCTTCTTTCAATAAACTGTCATTATTTAACAGTACTCTGACATCGTTGAAAACCTCATTAAATTCACCAGGAGGAGAATGTAAGATGAAATTCGTCACAATTCGAACCTTTTCTTGATCTGATATCGGTTCGTCGCTGTCAGCCGCCATCTTATCACCTTTCATTGCGGCAATAACGATATAATAGAACCAACACGACTATCGATCAGTCATTTCAGCCATACGAGTTGGCAACGGAACCACGTATGTGAGACTACAGGGGTACCAAAACAATGCAATCAGCGTTGCTCTTTGTATTCTATGAGCAGAGTCCGTGTTTAGAAGCTGATAGCTAGCTACGTTGGTATGATGATATTCTGATGATAAGAGTTGAAATTCCCCGCCATTTATGAAACACGAAGGTCTGTACAGTATTCACAAGGGCCCGCTACCTTTCACTGTCCTGAGCCAGATTAATCCAGTCCGCATGCTCAACACCTATATCGGCAAAACCTGTGTTCACAAGTGCCTGCCAGCGGTACATATTCCGAACCAGATCAGACCATTTCACACCAAACTACCCGCAGTTTCCTAAGGACCAATTTGAATATTATCTCCTACCTACGCCTACATCCTTCAACTGTTCTTTTTCCTTCAGATTTTCCGGGGATGCGTTCCTGGACGAACCGGCGTAAACGGAATCGGCATAAATTGAAACTCTTTTATAAGGGCTACCTGTATTGCATGCCCTGCTCATCTCATCCTCCGTGATTTGATCATGTTTGTGTTTCGCGAAAATGTTAAATTATGGAGCAATTCATTTTGCACCCTTTTCCAGCCTCTTGTCACTTCATCCTTCTTAGATCCAAATATTCTTATCAACACCTTAATTTCTAACACCCTCGATTTTATTCTCCTTGTATATTTCACGCCCATATAAAACAATACAATTATTTATTTCCTCGTGAATGTGATTTTAATTCGTTACAGTCCTTCCCATTTTTGAAATATGAGACATTTTCAAATGATTGTTTAACTACATTTACATGATTTTGTCATTTATAGCTGGAAACATACAGCAACTTCATTTTCTCTTCTATCCTCGGCTGGTCATTGTTGGTAGAAGCTTAAAAATTTCTTATAATAATAATTTCAATGATTTCCGTTCTTAGTAGGATAAGCTACATTCCTTCCCATAAATTTCCTCTCGTCATTTTTATGTCTTCTAAGGAAATCCTCTTTGCAACATCTTTTGATGAGGACTCTTTACAAATGCACATCCTCACAAACATTAGGCCTGCTTTTTGTCCTTCAACTTGCATGCAGAATGTTACGTGCTATCACGAAGATCGGTTAAGGCCGCACCATTTTAATTTAGTACTGTGAATCCATACTGCACTTTGGGACATATCATTAAGTGAGGATTACCGAACCATCACACACACATATCAATCTTGAATTAAAAATTAGTGCGAGCTACTTTTCTTTTCCTGAGATTTGCTTCCAACGGGGAAGCACACAGACTCAGGAAATGAAGTCATAATCTTGTTTCCTGCCGGAGTTTGTGGTTTTCTAGTCGTCAAAAAGTGACTGCTCACACAGTACGTACATGGCATTATCATAATTAATGTAACTTCATACGTTCTGGCCGTTTATAGGCAGTGATACGAAAACACGCCACACTGTATGAGATACGCCTAAGTTAAGCACTACCATTTTTTACCAGGTAATATTCTTATCATGTATTATATTCAGTGCAGAAAACAAGTTTTCCACATTCTTAAAAATCATTCAAGAGGAAATTTTAATCGCTATTTTATCCATATAGGATTTGGGACAGATAAAATAAGCTGTCTTAAAACAGATTTAATTTATACGGATTACACTTCACCAGTCACATTTTACGGCTACCTGTAGCAAAAAAAACGGGCTGTTTCCTTGATTAAGTAAGTTAAACATAGGCCTAAGTGCTACCTATAGCACCTGCAGTGTACGGTTTCAGCATTTCACCACGCAAACATACACACAACTACATTCTTTATTAAGAATAATACAATGCAAAATTATATTTTGCCCTTCGTGGCAACGGAATGCTCTTTGATAACGTTCCCAGTGTTATTAATAAAAGTTTTTATTGAGTACACTACTCCTCTGTGGCTGGCAATTACATTCGAGGTTTTCATGCTAATGTGTTTATCATACCTAACCTATCTAGGTAGTGTGAGTTGTTGTCTTCTGTCCTCAATAGCTGCAGACGTGATCCGTACCGCGCAGTGTTGTCGATGGTTTCCGAAGTTTTCAGCCTAGGCCTGCCACACCTCACAATCTACATTCATAGGTTCTCTTGACTAAATAATCATGGGTTTCACCCATTCTTCCATTAGAATTCCGCGAAAACGACTAAAAACACAGTTAGACACTAAACGCTTGTTTCATTCTGCCCTCATTTGATTTAACCATCCCTTTAATATGTTTCATTTGACGGCAGAAAAGCAACGCAATTAATACACGTCATTTGTGGCATTCAATATTTATTCGTACAGATATTCATTTATTAAACCATTATTGCAGTTAGACATTCCTTTAGTAAAATCTAAATTTAATCAAATTTAAAAAGCGAAAATTGAAATAAAAAGGTTGGGACTTTGGTATGGGAAAGAGGTTTCTTTGTATATTTATTGAAACTCTGACACCTCCATACTATCGCATGTCAGGATAATTATTGTGAATTATAAATTACGAAGGACGTCGAAGGAAACGAATTTACTCTTACCTATCCCTCGGAGGAATAGGGCTTTAAATTTTAATATCGCTAATATTTCTGTATTACTGATAAATGAACAGCGCCATTGTTCTTGTGAAATTGATAACCAAATTACGCATAACCTCAAAGACCCAAGGGATTGCTGGTTTGGTATTTATGAACCAAGAATGAAGAACATATATGAAACGATTAAAAAATCGTCGCTCACGCGCTGTCAGAAATTCTCAACGATTTCAAGTAAATGCATGTAAAGGCGAAATAGATTGTCATGCATAAGCTTTTGTTTGCAATCACGGAACAGACGGATGAAACTGACGAACATCCTAGCATGAATGAAAAGGCCAAAGTTGTACTGTATCATTGCTCTCTTAAATAAAGCCCTTGTAATTATTGGGTGAATTGTGTCCAACGTTCTACATCGTGCACGAGAGAGAAAAAGGAACGATCTTGTTAACTGTTATACCTTCTTCATATTTTAATATTTACATTTTCATAGCAGACAAAGGCAAAGTATTCTCAATTAAATGACAACAAACATTTTTCAAATTAAACATGGTTTCCTCATGAAGGTAATTTTGATCTGTTGCTGTCATTAACAAATATTTGTACTTTGATTAGTTAGCCATCTTTATCTTACGATTCTGTCCATTTTGATGACAACATACGAACATCAACTTAGCTTTTGCTATGCTTACTTTTAAACCAACCTCCTTATTAGAGTACAATAGACCTTATTTATTTTTCTGTGTGCAATTGACGGTTTTGCCCAATAAATTAATATAATCAACACAGACGAGAAGCTGATGTAGTCCATTCAGTTCCAATACCTCCTGATTTTCTTGGACATTCTTAACATTATAAAGGAAATTAAAAGTAATGGTGATAAAACATCTCCTAGTTTCAGATCATTCTAAGTAGAAATTTCATCAGACATTACTATACATTAATTTAATCTGATCACCCTAACATTTTTTTATTTAATCAAATATGTTTGTAGCTTTCAATCTTCTACTTATTCTCAAAATGTACAAAATCAATATTTCAGAAAAGTTATGGAAGAGTCAAAACCCAATGGACCTATAGTAACAAGCGAGACAGCAAAAGAAATCACAGAACCAGAGGATATTTATTTGGGTGCTGATGGACCTGAAGAGGTGGCTGTAGGAGTAAATGGAAAGAAGTTTAAGGTAGGAAACTAACCAACTGTTTGTGTTTGTTTTTCAGTTACAGAAATTTATACAGAAGCCACAGGTTTCCAGTGACAGACACAGAATGTAAAATTTTATGACTAAGGTCAACCTCTGCCAATAATTCATCCACCCAGGCAAATTTTCACTGAGAAAATGTCACATTACAATGAAAATGGGAGCTGTATCATCTTGCTGAACGAAGAACATGTCTCCACCTGTAAAAGATACTAGCAAACAGAATTGTGTGAACATTTCTTGCTAAACTACATTAATTTTGAAGATTTCTGTCTTCTGGGTTGTTGCGCTGTGTAGTCTGGTCGATGTTTACCAACGTTTCAGAGGTCATATTGCCTCTGTCATCAGGGCGATATTCACCAAACTACACAGCGCAACAACCCAGAAGACAGAAATATTCACACTCACCGCTGTGAAAACCTCAAATGCTACATTAATTTTTATGCTACTGATATGAACAAAACAGCATAAAAACTATTCCAATCAAATACAGGCTCATGATCTTTCAAAGCCATGTGCATTATTGCCTACAAAATAGAAAATACCACGTCCAATAAGTCCACGACCATGCAACTATCCAATTTCCTGTCCAACATTACCAAAGAAACTTTCTCCATAGCTAGAAGTGAACAGAGCATCAAACAACTCAACTCAACCTGTCAAAAGTCTAAGAATGCATACAAATTTATGTCTTTGCCCCCCCTCCCCCAAATATGCTATTATATTGTAGTGATTAGGAACAAAAATAAATCCAGTGTAACCTGGATTTCACCAACTTTTAATTTTGTGCATTTGCTGTTGCCATCCCCAGCCTGAGTAGGGTTCTTTTCCAGGGGTGAAAGTAGCCAGACTCTAAAGTCGATCATTCAACGCCATCTAGTGCTGAGGTTAAGAATGTTCTGCATTTACCATTACACCTACAATATGGTGATTTTTTACAGTTGCTGAGTCCTGCAAATACATACGCAGCTAAGAAAACAGTAGCTCAAGGCATGATGGATATTGCACTTATCACAGCCAATGCCAACCAACTACGCTACATTTTAGAGTTCGGTGATCATAATACAGTATTTTATACCATTACCGTGCTCATAGTAATAAGCATTTTTCTGCAGGTATAGCAAATGTTTCTGTTTTATAAACTTATTATTCAAAATAATATATCACAATAAAGTTTTATAAATATATAATTCCATTGTAATTTAACAGAATGTTTGCTTTGACAAAGAAACTAAGTTGTGTAGCTAATTAATGCTATGTGTATTTGAGTGTTTCAAACTCACTCCATCATAAAATTCAACTCAGCAATATTATTAACACTAAATACACGACATTAAATTCACAAACAAATGCGACTGAAAAGCATTAGGTTCACGTTGTGAGAAGTAACTCATAAATGAAATGTCATAAAAATAGTGTTAATATAATTTAAAAAATATATATTACACAAACCTAATGCTTGAATCATTTATAATAAGTGCCTTATTTCCTATAAAAAATAATTTTGTGACTATTTTGCCACATATATTTATACATTTTCACAGGTGGCAGTTGGAGTATGCCTCATTTTCAAAGGACGGTATGATATGGCTGGTGATTCAAAGCATCGACAGGCAAATAGACTCAACAATTATGTTGTTATGGGCGTTTTCCTAGTCACCATCATCAATGTGTTTGTTGCTACATTCACCATAAGCGGAAAAAAGGAGTCAACATAGTGAAGTAGACGCCATTTGTGATTTATTTTCCTCATTCATGCCACAAAGCACCGAGGTTCGAGTTTCCTACAACTTTTGAAATACTTGCTCAAGAACTACACATCTTTTCCACGGAGATGGAAAATGGAATGGTATATGATTTATGAAACAGTTTTGAGTCAGAGAAACTGCAGCATCCAAAGTTCATACTTCATACTTAAAAGACTGCATCCAAAAGCACAATTTTCTACATGCTGCCACATAACGACTAGTTTTCTAACAGAACATTGCAGCAAATTAAGCTCTTACCAGAATGTAGTTTTCCTTTAGTTATGGAAACACATTTTTCATCACTGACACCAAGTATGAAGAATGAGATGATATTCAAATCAGGGAAGATTTTTAAACCTTTATACACCAATAATTAAGAGTAGAATGTTGTTAAACTCTTAATTTTCAACCACCTTACACACTGTTCAATATATAACAAAAAACAAATTATTCCTAACCATTCCATCAAGAATGCCACTTGGTGTGTGTGTGTGTCCGATAAATGTAAAGCTGGACACAAACTTTGTCGCATGCACAGTTCTAATACACTAACTCTAGGACACGTCCAGTAATGTGGTAGAGTTTAACCAAGTCTAGCTTCACAGAAGATCCTAAATAAGCCTGCTTCTTTAAGAGTCTGTGAAACAATAAATAAAATACTTCCACTTATAAAATGTTATCTAAAAACATATTTAAAAGTCTCATAAGCTCATATATTGTTTGTCAAAATTTTTTTTACAGCTTTTAAGATAAAAGCACCAATAATGGCACAAGGAAAAAATGTAGTAATATTTAAATATTATTTAGTAATCATTATTGTGATTCCCATGCTATTGTTTATAATACATTATTATGTTCTACATTTATTATATTTCAGAACAACAAATCAACTGTTACGTTTATGAACTTGATAAACAACTAAACAAACATGAATTATAAAAAAATACAAAAAACATACCAATTATATAAACTTATCATTTTAATGTGGCAGTAAATAAAAACTAACAAAAAATACAACATGTAAAGACATACATGCACAACACTGCAACTCATAATTTCAGGGATATACTAAATCAAAATTGAACTTCATGTAATAAATATGGCAAAATAAATAAACATACTTAAAATGACATTATTAGACCCCCACCATGAATTATTTCAGTCAATTCAGCATTATTTCACTAAGTAAGCAAAGTTACAATCAAGAATTTGAGGTTTTCACAGCGCTGAGTATGAAGAATTCATATTATTATTATTATCATAAAAGCAATTTATATAACTTACAAGGGTCTGCCAAAATATAGTGAAAATCATTTTTTTTAATCCTTCAACAGTTACAAACTTCTATACATGAAAATATGTCATTACTGCACTCAGATTCTAAATGCACTAACTGGGATCATTTGATCTAAGCACCTAAAAATGAGAAAAAACTGTACCAATAATCACACTATAAATGTTACAATATACTTAAATAAAAACAAATTGTCCAAATATTTTAACTGAAGAACAGTCCACATTTACAAATTGGTCTAGAAAAGGGTTTCAATGTATAAGCCCAAATTCACCTTGAGAAACAAGAGGGGAAACATACACTTCAATTATTCTCCAATGGACTCTGCCATTGCAAACTGAGTTTCTGATTATTGGACGGGTGTAGAGGGACAACAGCGCCTTTTGCTTCTGGGAAACGTTCATGGTAGCGTTCCAGGCGCAGATACTTCACAGTTACCAAATTGCCTGTGAACAGAGATCAATAAAAGGTTCAGATAAATCTACTACAAAAATAAATTAACAACTAAAGATTAGACACATTAAGAATGCATTTCACATGTGCATTAAAAAAGTTAAAAATAACTACATAAAAATAATGTAATTTCTATCATATAAAATGAAAGTTTTAATATTAATTATTGAACTCACCCAAGACATACACAATATCCCCCGTCCTAATGTGTTCAGACAGGATATTATATTGAGGTATGTTTTACAGACAACTGAAATAAGGAATATCTTCAAAAGTGAGCAATTTTCTTGTCAACGGATAAAATTTGAACACACATTTTCCATCCACAGTTTAAGTTCAAAAGTTCATAATTTTTTTATTCCTACTATAGTATGAGATTAATATCTCCATGGAACTGTGCAATGCCAATCCCCCAGGTGACATGGTTGAATATGGAGCAATGGTGGGATGATACTGATGGTAGAAAACCAAAGGACTTGGAGAAAAAAAACTGACCCAGTGCCACTTTATTCACTACAAATCTCTCATGAAATGCCCTGGGCGTGAGCCTGGGCCTCCGTTGTGAAAGACCAGCACCTAACTGCCTGTGTTATGGCATAGGCACCCCATGATATGTAGTAGATGTTCATCCATAAAAGAGAAAAGATTATACAAATTGCAGAAACCTACACAAATAGACGCTTTATTACAACACAATAATTGCTGCCTCCATCAGCAAGGTTTTGAGTCACCCTGATGATGGAGGCAGCAAGCACCTCTGAAATGTCAATAAATTTTTACCAGACTACATGGTGCTATAACCCAGAAGACAGCCATCTTCATACTTTGTCATGAGAACTTTAAATCCTACTAAAACCTGACAGTTTTCATTTAATACGATCAACTACCGTCCTGCTCTTACCGACTCCAGATACCAGCAATTGCTCATATACATGTAACCACACAAGGAACTGTCAAAACTCACAACATCAAAGAAATCTAGGCATGTTTTTACATTCTCTTGCATTTAGTAAACACATCAATCAACACCCTAGTATTCTGCATGCCTCTCTCATCATACTGGTGGCACTTACATTCACATTTCTACTCGCACATCAGAAATAAGGCAGAGATTCCCTTCTTTCTCCCACTTAATAAATACAAGTACACACATTATACCAACAAACATGGTAATGCCACTGTTTAGTGTTCTGGGTATCACACTGTGTTGAAACAGTAAATAAAGAGAGCTTTTATCTAAAGTAGCAGCAGCAACTTTCTCCAGAACCTTCTACCATTATAGCAAAGTGTGATGCCCAGAAGACAACAAAGCTATGAAAAGTTCAAGTAAGTTCTTTCCCCATAAAAAAATGCCTACTGTCAAACCACCAGCCATGAAGTGCTCGATATGCTTTGCCAGCATCTTCTTGAGAGGCACACTTGAGGTACACACATCCTTCTCGAGAGCCACGATCCACAGAGATGTGCAATGCCACGACACCCTCTTCCCCACACTTCTCCAGAATAGCATCCTGCACCCGGACTAGCCATTCATCTCCAAATTCCCTAAATCAGCAGAATCATTCCAATTGAGAACAAGATTACAAGTCTAAACAATGAAAAATAACCTTTCAAAACACTTCTAGTCTCAACATGTACAACCAAGAGAAAAAAGGCTGTATGGGCCAGGACAGCTGTGTCAGTACTAACTCATTATGGGATGATTAACTATGGCTCCAATTCCAACAGTGACGATGTCTTTTTTCCTCCTCACCATCACATTCAGACCATCTCAGCCTCCCATCCAATGGATTTTAGGGGCTTTAATATGCCCTCAGGGGGTTAAACAGGCCACAGCATGGAGATGACCTCTCACCTCCAACTTGAATCAAATTTAAGTATGTATAAAGCTTTACCTAAGATAGTGTAATTGCGTCATATTGTGAATATTCTAACAATTATTTATTTTAATCCGTCTTATCACAATATTTAAAATTTCTTATAATTAAGATAATAAAATATCATTGATGTTCCATATCGATTGTGATGCATAACACATTTATTGTTTGGCCTTTAAATTCACTCCTTACCTTAAATATCAGGGTTTTTAACCGAAAGGCACAGTTTTGTACTGTGCAAAGAAAAAAAATCAGTCTGCAAATTTTGGAAAAGAAAATTTTATATTATCGATACTAGACTCTGAGGCCATAAATGAACTGTAATAAGTTAGTTATTACTTTGAGATTCTAACATAAGAAAATAAATACAATTTAATTAATGAAACTCTACACCAGGGGTTCTCACCATTTTTTGCTGGCAAACTACTAATTCTAATTTAACACACTAAACGTACCACTAACCAAATGCGTTCAAGGAAAACTTATTTATGTTAATATTATCTTTTGGTTTTCTCATTTAGTTCGCATACCACTCAACATTGGCTTGCATGACACCAGTGGTACACGTACCAAAGGCTGAGAAACACTTCTCTACATTAAATGATAAAATATGCCAGGAGTTTAAATTGAGTCACTTAAAGATTAACTGTGTAACTGTGCAAGTGACTGTGTACAAAAAAACACAATGTTTCAAACCAAACACTGATCTTGATTCTGTTTGAATTCAGGTTTCCAGTATCCTATTTTTCTGAAAATACCACAATTATTCTTAAACTTAATGCCTTAATCAAATTACACAAATAAAACAACCCAATCAGGTTTGTAGTAAATTATAGAAATGCTCCCACATATAAAATTGCTAAATTTATGGCAGCACTGCTAAAACAATATTTAGATCTACCATACCAATACAACGTAAAGAATTCCACACAATGTGGAGAAAGTATCAAAAATATGATTGCCTAACCCACATATAGAATGTTAACACTCGATATTTCAAATTTATATACAAATATCCCAATCACAGAAACATTAGAAATTATAAAATGTAAACTAGAGCAGTACGACGAAGAAACACAAAAGGAAATTTGTGACCTACTCGCAGAAACCGTTAACAAAATTTTTTCGAGTTCAATAACACTTAGTGGCAGCAAAATGACGGTACACCTATGGGCTCCCCTATGTCTAGTATCTTATCTGAGATCTTTTTGCAAGAAATTGAAAAGAAGTTTTACCCAAACATAATAAAACAATGACATATAAAATATATCGCTAGATACGTAGAAGATATTATAGTTATTTTTGACGAATCCTTCTCCACAGCCAAAAACATCCTAAATGACCATAACAACATGCACCAAAAGTTAAAATATAACTTAGAAACAGAAAATAATAATAAAATTAACTTTTTAGACCTCGCTATTCACAGACACCTGACAGAATTCCAATTGGGCATCTACAGGAAACCCACATTCTCTGACATGGTAATACACAAAACATCTAACCATCCCAACTCCCACAAACAAGCTGCATTCAATTTCCTTGTTAACAGATTGCAAAAATACCAGTCTCCAAAGAAGAATTTGGTAAAGAAACCCAACTGTTGTGCCAGCGGCCCCTTGCCGTGTATTTGCACCCCTGGGTAGCAGTTGTTTCAGAAATCTTGGGATTTCACAGTGTTACGCAAAATACAGGATGACTGGTGGGAAGTCCGGAGAAGTCGGATTAAACCAACCACTCTTCCTACCGCAGAAGTTAACATCCAAGTTCTGTGTTTTCTTGGGAAATAATGCATACGTGACTTCCATAATGTGGTTAGGGGAATTACGAATCCAATTGACCAATGAGAAACGCCGATTCCAGGGCGGTTCCCGTGAACCACGTCATAACTGCGCGTCTTTTGATCTATAGACACGAATACGGCCACATAGATATCATGAACATATTAAGAGTAGCTCCAAAGGGTAAAATGCTAGATATCTTAGAAAAATTCCACATATACAAAAGTAGTCAACAAGAAGCCATCATCAACGAACAAAACACCAAAGATTCTAACGTATTATTTGACCTAGCATTAAACAGGAGAAAGTAATTTTTTCAATAGTTGGCCACCCTGATTTCAAGTTTATATATACCCATGCATTTCCAACTGACAGTCTCTCGCTGACGGTTCTGGAGTTCACAGGTACAGACGATGCAACTACAGCTCGCCAAGATCAGCAACGGCCACCGTACAACGGAATCAACAGCAAAGTGCGAGTTTTACTCCTGTGAATAACAGCATCTAGTGCAGTCATCTTGTCAATTACCTTTTATTTTAATTATGAAATTTGCTCGAACCATTTGACTATATGTATTAATTTCCCTGATGCCACTGATGATGACCTCTTGAGGTCGAAACGCGTATGGCAATAGTGTCCATTATAGTGTTAATAGTTGTTGGTTTGTTCACTCTATATTATAATTATTCTTGTATTTATTATGTAATTTTGAAACATTACTATCTGGGAAGTGACTATCAAAGTGCAAGGAACAAATAAAATAATTTACACATTTAAGATGTACACAATGTGACATAACATGTTTTTCAACTATGCCATAGCACTAAATTGTATAATGATGAGTATACAGTAGGCCCTGGGTTCAAATCTCGGCCCAGAGACCAGCTATCCTGACTGGGTTTTTCGATGTTTTCCTCAGTCCCTCCAGGAAAATGTCAGGATAGTACCAAGAATTAGGCCACGGCCGCTTCCTTCCACATCCTTTTGCAATGCATTATTCACTATCATCCTCTCACTCAATGCTGTGTAGTCTGAGCTACTCAAAAAGTGTTGTTAAATAAGCTATAAATAAATAGTGATGAGAATGATAATTATAAAGGACAAGAAACTGGCAGTAACCTATTTTACTATGATTTCTGCTCCACTTAAAGTGTATGTTCTTACTTAACCGATAATTGTCTTCTGCTAAAGTGACAACATACATGCACGTAATATACATTGCTAAGGGACTTCGAGTTATTGGGCTGTTACAGAAAAGCATGAACACAACTTACACATCTGGATCAAACATGTGTCTTATCTTCAGACAAGGTGTTGGAGAACATGGTGGAGAGTTGGGACTGCCACTCATTATAACAAATGCCTGCCCTTGCCACACCTTGTTGTTACGACGAGGTGTTGACTGCTCTGAGGACACGGCACTGCCAATATCACAAAAAAACACAAATGAAAAACACATTCACCTGATAACAAATAAATTCCATAACGCAATGAACAAATATAATGAAGACCACATACAGCGTCACTTATATGAAAACCTCAAACCTCAGAAAAACAGAATTGTTTCTCACAACATTCAACAGAAAATTAATTTGGAAGGAAATGATTGGTTGGGTAGTTGTTCGAGAAACACCAAATGAAAAAAGAGATTCACGCAAATGAATTAAAGATAAGTAAAAGGAATAATACAGTTGCCCAAGAATTCAAATACAATATAAAAAGTATACATAACACACAATATGTATTTCATCAGCCTTTATCATCTGTGCATCACAGCTTACACGTAGCTCAGCTGGCTACGTGTCACACCAGTAGCCCACAGTATGGGGCGTAAATTCCATCCCTGTACAACAACGATTCCGGTCCCACCACGTTTCAATTTGGTGCACAACTGACACGATCCCAGAACAAATACATTAACATACTTAATGTAAGGCATGAGTTTATTGAACATATATAAACCAAATTTAAGAAATGGTGTTACCCTCCCAAACCAAAAGAGATCTAAATCCATCCTGGATGATGATAATGAATACATTGGTGCATATATTTTGGTAATGGAAGCAGCATAACTAAAGTGTGTAAAGTAGTGTTGTATTCTTGTTGATGTTACTGCTACTGCTGCTGCTCCCCCCCCCCCCCCCCCCCCCC